AAAAAAATAAAAAAAAGAATCCCCAAAGGGAAAGAGGGCAAGACCCATAGATCCTAACTCTAGCTAGGAATCTCTGAGTGTCTCTTTCCCAGAGAGGCATAGCAGGGCCTGGAGAGAGGGTCTTACTGAGGATAGGTAGCTCGAGGTTACTGGAGAGCGCAGGGTCACAGAGAATGCAGTGGGTGGGGAACTGGACGAGATGGGGCAGACTGGCCAGGGAGCTGAAGATTCGGCCACTCAGTTCCCAGAGGAACTGAGGCTCTCTCTTGTTGGGGGACAGATTCCTCACTAGGGCACCCCCTGGGAGAGGAGTGGGTGGAGAGGACCCTTTTCTCCGTTCCGGCCAAACATGCAGGCCTAGCGGTGGAAGAAGCTTTCTGAGGTGTCAACAAACTTAAGAAAATGTCTGTCACCAGAGCCATAGGTCTTCAGAGAAGCCACCTTGCTGAGTATCTCTTTAGACCTTTCTTGTCATTAATTTCTGTCGTACATTTTCCCTCCTAGCAAATTCCAGCAGCCATCAAGGTCTTCAAGGACTTTCAGCGAAAAGCATGCTGCCTCCCCAACCACACACAGCCCAACCCACAGTGCTGACTACCCCCTCGGCCAGGTGAAATACCTCAATTCTGGGTTTCTGCTTAGAAGCTTGCCCCTTAATAATTGCCTACAAACTTTATCATCTCTTTTCCGCTTCATTTTCTTTGGAAACATACTCTTTGGTAAACATATTCTACCTCTGCTAAGAACAAAATAATTCAGCTAATTGTTCTAGACTCTCATGATCCGCTCTTGTGTTTAAGGTTTTAGTACGTCCTTTTGTAGAAGTTTCTTTTCAACGAACGATTTGCCATACAACTACAGCTGAAGGACCAAACCCCAGCTGGAATGAAGAACTTGAACTTCCATTTAGGTGAGCATATTTTCTTCTTTAGGGAACTATAGGATATTTTGAAGAAATGTGAGTAAAATGGAGCCCCGGGGGGAAAAGGCCACAGTGAAAGGTTCTACAGGAGCCTGACACTGAGTCCCATTCTGTTGCTCTTGTACCACAGGGGACTCCGACCAAGACTAAAATGGGAAAATGTGCAACTTTTGAAACTCGGGTTCATTGTTGGGACACGCCCATGCCTCTCCAGGCTCTGGCTTTTTGTAGCCCTAAGTTTCCCATTCCCTCGACCCCCTGGCCCCTACACTGCTTTTCCTTTGTTCCTCGTCTCCCTGACTCTGGAAGCTTCAAATAACCTCTCTAGTCTGGCACTCCC